TTTAAGACTTTTGGAGATTGGTTGCACAACAGTGTGACTGTGCTTAGCATGACTGAAACTCATGCTCAGACTCAAAATGGTTAAAATGGTAAATTTCATGTCACGTATGTTTTACCAAAATAAGTCCGCATCATTCAAAAAAGTTTTAAAAAAAATTTCAGTAGGTCCCTGTGGCCAGTGGCTACCAGATTGGACCACACAGTTCCAGACATCTGGAGTCTGGGGTCCTCATAAGCCCTGGATCTGCAGGAGACCTCAGGGACACCATGTCTGTCTCTGTGAGGATGAGCGGGTCCTGCCTTCCCCCGAGTGCTGCCAGGCCCTCCTCCTGCACCTTGGTTCTCTCCTCCCCTTGGGCAGGTTGTTCGGCCCTCCTCGGTCTCCACTGCTTTATCTGTAAAGGGATCGATCGCTCCCTGTGCTGGCTTACTGGCTGGAGAGGGTGGGGCCGGCAAAGAGCAGTCCTTTGTTCTAGATTTTTGGCCCCCTCTGCGCGTGGGAGGTGCTGGGCTAGGTAGCAGGTTGGGGGGCTGGGAGGCTGGGGCGAGACTGCAGCCTGCAGATCAGGGCCCAGTTAAGATGGACACTACGTGCTGGGTGCTCACAAAGGCTCTTTGTCACCACGAAGAGTCCACAGCATGAACACTGCTCGAAGAAGGGGCTCAGGTAGCTGAGAAAGTGAGAAGGGAGAACAGGGCAGCAAACCCCAAACTAGAGCATAGGGCAGCCTGCAGGTTGTGCATTAACCATGCCAGCAGCTGACCCTGATGAAGTGCTTGCTGTGTGCCGAGGGCTCCCTGCCCCTCCTCTCGCCGGGTCCTTGCAACAACCCGGAGAGGTGGGAGCCAGCGCCATCCCCAAGGTCAGGGGTCCGGTCCTGCCCTCCAACCGCAGACACACACGGCATCACGTCCAGTCCCGAGCGCGCTCTTTGCACCCAAGTTCTTCACCTGATTGCTTTCTTTCCTCAACAAGAGGTGGATTTTTTTTTTTTTAACATTTTCCTCCTTTTAATTGGAGACAGCATTCACTGACTCCGTACACGGCCTGGGAACGTCACCAAGCGTCTCTCTGTAGTTTGCAGATGGCGTGTACCTAGTTCTGCTCATGGGTCTTCTGGAAGACTACTTTGTGCCCCTGCACCACTTCTACCTGACGCCGGACAGCTTCGATCAGAAGGTATGTGCGGACACTCTTTCTGGGGTCTAGCTGCATTCTTCAAAAAATAAAAACTGCCCGGAAATGGTATTGCCATTAGATGCAACTGTCAGGAAAGGAGGGACCCCTGGGCAGTGCCTGATGCAGCCGAGTGTGGTGAGCCCGCTCTCTTTGGGGTCCTTCCCTCGGGATGATGCCGTTTTTAATAACTGTGCTCAAATGTCAGGGGGGTTGTGGGTCCTTCCCCTGTTCGTACCGCACGGACGTCACGTCTGGTTCTCCTGCTGCTTCGTGAGCTTCCTAAATGCCGTCGTCAGTGGGGCACAGAGTCCGTGGAGTGGCTCTGATGCCACTGTCCCCCGTTCCTTCCCCACTTTTGGGTGATCAACTTGTTTCTGTTTTTTCCCTGTTAAATCAGTAGGGGATCATCCTGAATGTGTATACATATATGTGTATTTTTCTTCTATTCTTGTGGATTGTTTTCTAGGACAATCCCTAAAAGAGGATTGTTTCGGTCAAAGGGCGTGACCTTTACATTTGGGATGTCCTTTTCCTCCTGCCGGGGCTTCCCCAGGTCCAGCTGTCCCCGTGGTGTTTAGTGCGTCGCTTTTAGCAACTTGGCTGGTGGACTGACCATATTGCTTGAACTCAGGAGCATCTGTCATTTCATTTCCCCAAAGCGCTAGACCCACGAGTCGGAGAGGCAGACAGTGCAAGCGGGTGGCGGCAGCCAGAGAAATGTCGGAAGCTGGGCCAGTGTTTATCAGTCTGCCCGCTTCTGACACCTCGCGGGCGGTGTGCTGGCGGCCAAGTGTCGCTGCCGCCTTGCCCGCCGTGATGGAATCAGCAGATTAGAGAGGTCCTGGCACATTAGCATCCGTGGTGAGCCCGCGGAGGGAGCGCGGGTGGGAGCAGCATCGGGTACGCTCGGGGCCCTGCCCATCCAGTGGATCAGGAAACAGGAGGACAGTTTGGCGAGGGGCTCAGACATCCCCAGGCCCGTGTGGCTGCCAGCTGGGGCTTTGTTTTGGAAAGATCTTTTCTCTTCAGATGAGTAAGAAGGCTGGCAAGAAGGGTGAATTTAGCCAGGCCATTTGGAGCAGGGTTTCCTTCTGGGACAGGCTCTGTGCAGTGGCAGGGGTGTCCCCACCCAGCCCCAGCCTTTCCCTTTGAGACGGGATGAGAGTCTCTGCCAGTCGCTGTGCTGGCCTGGGGGGGCTTGGGTCCCGTTCAGTCTCCGGGAAGGGGAGACTGCTGTAGGGGACGGCACCCAGCCTGGCGCTAGTCCCTGGACCCTCTCGAGGGGACCTGCCGGTGGTGGCTCCGAGGGCTGCTGGAGCTCTCCCTGGAGGATCCCGGAATTCTAGAGGGTCTGTATCTAACCCTGTTAGCCCCGAGCCCCGCCCCTGGACTCTCCCCAGTCCTGCTCAGAGGGAGTGGTGACATCGCGGCAGCCGCTGGGACGTTCCTCGGGAGCCGAAGTAGTTATCGACCTCCAGGGCCTCCTGACCGCCTTGCAGGTCGTGGCCTTTCTCCACGGCCTAGACCTGAGCCCACTCCAGGCTGGTCCGGTGCCCGAGCTCCCAGGCATCTCGTGCAGGTGTGGCGACGTGGGCAGTGGTGACATGGGCAGGGGACCCGTGGGAAGCGCCCCAGGGCCCAAGACTCCGAGAGGCACTGGGAATCTTTGTATCAGCGGCCTAAGACCAAGGCTCCGTGAATGAAACTGAAGACGCACTGTGGGCTTGTGTTTTTAAACAATTTGCCACTTTGCTGGGTACCTTGGGCCCATCAGTCATCTTCTGGAAGATTCCACAGTGTCCCTCTCTCTGAGGGTGGAATGTGTCCTGGAGACTTGGGGGTCATTCCTAGGAGCAAATACCAGAAAGGGATTTGCAGTTTCAGGGGCTTTCCTTTCTGCCTCCCCATCAGATTCCCTCTCCCCGGCGAGGAAATGGGACCTCAGGAGGGTGGCGTGGTTAGCTGGGGCAGAGCTGGAAGAGCCCCCCCCTTTTCGGGACCCTCTACTCCTCTCTCTCGGCCAGGCTTTGGAAAACCCTTTGCGTTGCAGAGAGAAAGGGCTTCAGGTCCTGCCCGAGGGCGGCTCCCAGGTTTCATTGTGTGGCCTGCTGGGGGTTCTCACTCGATGGGGGTTCTCGCGCTCTGGGCTCACGGTCAGGGAGGTGGCCCCACATCCTCGTCTGGAGTTGTTTGCTGTTCTTTGTGCCCAGTCCATGGGCCCAGGCTCCGGGCACAGCACTGCTCTGCCAGGGCAGAGGTCCCCGGGGGTGGGGCACGGCTCTGAGAGAGAACAGGAGGAGGCTGGCAGCAATTTCCTGCCTGGCGGTTTCGTTGGACTGAGAAGAAAGCAGAAGGAAAATCTCGTTCAAAACCCGTCACTGTTGGGCCGAGTAGCTGCAGGTGGAGCGGGGCGGGGCCTCGGGAACTTAGCCTCGCCGCACACCTGCACTGGGGCAGGTCCTGCAGGCTTGGAGGGGCTCGGGACGGGCGCTGGGAGGACGGCTGTCCCCACGCTGGGCTGACGGGCTCACCCGACTCTTGCTCCATTTCTTCGTCTTTGCCATCCTGGGTCCATTTGACTCAGAGCTTGCCGTGCGTGTGTGAATCAGCTGATCTGCACGGTAGTCAGCTGGTGGCCGAGGAGGCAGGACGCGCGTGGAGCAAGGGCACAGGTTCCACAGCTGGACTGCGGGGAGCTGGGTGCCGGCTGTCTTGGAGACCTGTGCCTCGCTAGCACAGATGTCCTCATCTGTTCAGCCCGGGGCCTCCTCTGTCAAGGGAGAGGTTCCAGACCCTCCCCTGCGTTTCCTGGGCTAGTCCCACCTCTGAGGCCCAGCCAGGTGCAGCCCGCCCCCCAGGCTGGCTCTGAGCCCTGCAGGGGGGCTCTGATGGCCCCTCCCGCTGCCCCCCTCGGCCTTGGACCTGGTCCTGGAGCCTCTGGTCATTTCCAGCCCGCCCAGCCCTGGTGTGCGTGGCCTGCCCCCACTCTGGGCCGTGTCTCCGGTGCCAGGGCCCGGCTCCTGTCGATGCCCAGCAGACGGTGGCCTCTGCTTCTCCTGGTGCCACCATGGCCGGGAGGCTCCCCTGCGGTACCCTGAGCTGTGTGGGCTTGCCTAACTGAGGGTTATTTGCCCAAATGTCCTTTTCCTGGTTAATTATTAAACCCTATCGCAGGTAAACGTGTTATGTTTCTGATTCGTTTGCACTGAAATCATGAAAATGTTATTGTTTAAAGAGTTGGTATTTGATTACAAAGAGCCCTGAAGTCCTTCCTAGTTCTGATGTTTGTGATTTATTTTATTGTATTTCTTGGTCCCCCACCCTCACCTCACCCCCACTGGTCTTTGCTGGAAGCAGACGTCTGGCTGGCTGTGATCTGGTTGATCCCTTGCACTGCACTCTGTGGTTCACGTGGACTTTAGACGCAGCAGAGAAGGCTCTATTTCTAATCTCCTTGGTGGCCATTAGCAGAATGCAAGCTCCAAGCATCCCTGTGGGCCGAGTGCTGGCAGGCAGAAGTCGTGCGGGGGTGGATGTGTCCACCTTTCTGGGGCATCAGGCGGGTTGAGGGCCAGGACCTGTGCCCTGCTGCAGCCACCATCAGCCTGACTTCCATTCCAGCAGTTTCCTCGTCTGTCAAAGGAGGTCACTTGTCAGGGTCTGAGGTGGAGCAGGCCCTCGGGCGCCCAGTGTGCCTTCACCCCTGTGTCCCCCTGCTGCCCTGATCACTGTGAGGGAGTGAGGACTTCTGGTGAATGTGCGTTGCCTTCAGCAGCCTCCCTTGTGCTCCCTCTGGTCACCCTGTGCCCTCCCCGGGCGTCCCTGTCCTTGTGGGTGTAGTTATCCCAAAGGCTCACTCTGTCCACACTTGCTCCCATCTCGTCCGTTCAGAAGGAAAGCAGTGGGCGGCAGGTGGGCCTGAGACCCGCTGCCGACCTGGCGCTAACTCTGGCTTCCTCGGCAGGTGCATAACGTGTCGTTTGCCTTTGAGCTGATGCTGGACGGGGGACTTAAGAAACCCAAGGCTCGCCCTGAAGGTAATGCCCTGAGCCAGGTCTTAGAGGGGCTGGAAGGCCGGCTGTTTCTCTCCCGTCAGGCCCCACGTGAGTGGCTCGCAGGCCGGGCTCTGCCAACCCCGGCTCCCCATGTCCCCCGTGCTCGGGGTTTCGGGGACCAAGAGGACTGTGCAGGCGGAATCACCCAGGCCAGTCCTTTAGTAGCCACTTGTCTTGGAGGACGGGGCCTCTTCCGCACAGCCTCAGGATTTAATTGTCCAGGTGCCATTGCTCAGGCTGGAGCTGCTGCTTCATGCCTTGAAAGGATATTAAAGGCTGACCGCAGTTAGAGGACTGTCGGGTCGACCGGGTCGATGTTCTGAAGCCCAGGCGATGCCCGTGAGCAGAGATGCGGCTCGGTCGTGCCCCGTGAGGTCTGAGCGGCAGTGGGGAGGCCCCTTGCTGTCCCTCCCTGGCGCTTGTGTTGAATCATCTGTCCCAGGAACCTCTAACTTGCGTGAGCATCTAAATCCCCAGGAGGACTTGGCTCCTCAAGTCCCGTTTGTAGGCAGTTTCTGGGTGACGCCAGTGCTTCTGGTCCAGGGATCCCACCGTGGGCATCACCACCCGATAGCGATTCACGGATTCCGGCGGGATGTCTTCATTGTCTCCACACACACACCCTGGGAGGCTTGCCAGCCACTGTTTGACAGCCATCCAGGGACAGGAATTCCATCCTGCGGCCCATGAACAGCCCTCCCCAAACCCCTTCTCTGAGGTCACAGGGCAAGCGAGGACAAGAAGCAGGTGCCTGATTTCCAGGAGGACAGTCCCCATCCCACCAAACAAGGTGGCCCAGACTTACTGGACACCAGAGGAAGCTGTCAGTCCTGGAAGTGCCCTGCCTCGGGCCACATCAGGTGCCCGACCTTGGTGGGATGGAACCGCAGCTCCCACCTGCCCTGACCCAGGAGCCCGGCCTGGCTGTAGCCAGGGGTCCTGGCATAGAATGTCCCGTGGGTGTTTGGTCCCCAGTAAATGTCCTTGGCTGTCGTAGACCCCACCCCATGCAGACTCATCCGATGCAAATCCCAGAGGGGATAAAGAGGCATCCTTGCCATCCCAGGGGCTTGTCCCATCAGGTGGCGGCCTGGGGGCTCTCCCAGCAGCCCCTGTCTGGGGATGGCGCTACCCAGAGTGTCCTGGATGTATTTAAACAGAAGTACTTTGCTGGGGACACGGCTGATGTCCACGTGTCTCCCAGGTGCGCACTCTCTCATCGGCCACGGTTTCTCTCTTTCCTTCTGCAGATGTGGTGAACCTGGACCTCAAATCCACCCTGAGGGTCCTTTACAACCTGTTCACCAAGTACAAGAACCTGGAGTGACGGCGGGGAGCAGCAGAGACCACGGCGGGGACAGTCCCGAGTGTTGCGTCTCCCAGGCAGGGCTCCGGCCTCCCCTCCCGGCCCCTGGCTGTGCCCTGCCCCCACCCCCCTGGTTTTGGTGGCTGCTCTTTACCTCCTTTCTGTGTAATTCCGCAGCGGGCGGGACCCTTTGAAATGCAGGTTGTAAACACCAGTGCTCGTGTCTGTGGCCTCGCTTCAGCTGGATGCCACGGGGGTGCTGAGTCCCTCTTGTCCACCTTGATCAAAGATGAAAAAAAGCCGGAACCCCAGCCCTCAGCCCCGGGGCGGGGGTGCCCTGCCTTCCAGCTGACAGCGGTCTGTGGTCACAGGGGATCTGAAAGGCACCGTCAGCTCTGCCAGGCAGGTGACGGCCTGTCTGTTCCGGGGAAGCCTCCTGGGTGGGGCTCTCCTCCGAAGCGAGGCCTTTTTTAGTAAACAGTGTTTTACAGTTTTAAAAACTTCCCTCTAAAGTCTCAGGAGCTTTACTTTCGAGCGGAGCCTCCGCCCCCACGTCCCTCCTTCCCGACCACTCAGTGCTGTGCTCACTCTGCTTTTGCGCAGACACCTGGGGCCCAGAGGACCCGGCCACAGTCCGCGGGAGGAAGGGTTTCTGAGGCATTTTTTTATTTCTTGCCATGGCTGAGAGGGAGCTGGGCCTGAAATACAGCCCGAGACAGCTCCCGTGGGGAGTTTCTGATCTCCGAGGCCCTGTTTGGGGATGGATGCATTCTTTAAAACTTTTAAAAAGCAGAGTGTGTTAGTCTGGTCAGGATGCCATAACAAAGAGCCATAGACCAGGCACTTAGACCACAGACATTGATTCTCTCATAGTCTGGAGGCTCGAAGTTCGAGGTCAGGGTGTCAGCAGAGTTGGTTCCTTCTGAGCCTCTCTCCTGGGCTCGTCCCAGCATCTTTCCATGTCTCCCCTAGGTGTGTGTCTGTGTCCTAGTCTCTTCTTATAACTCACCAGGCAGATGGGATGAGGGTCCACCCCAGGGACCTCATGTTACCTGAATTACCTCTGTAAAGACCCTGTCCCCAAATACAGTCACGTTCTGGAGTCCTGGGGGCTGGGACTTCAACATGTGGATGCTGGGAGGGACACAGCTCAGCCGAAACAGGGGGCAGGAAGCGCTCATCTCACTCCTTGCTCCCGACCTGGCTTTCCGGAGCCCTGCTGGCCCCCTCGAGCTCCCCGTCAGAGGAAATGCAGTTCCTCATGTCTGTGCTGTCCACCCCTCGCCCCCCGCGGCTCAGGGGAGAAACGAGGACCTGTTGTCTGGGTCACCCCCAACCCCGCCCAGCTCCCCGGGTGTATGTGTGGGGTGTGTGGTGCGCCAACCCCACCCCACCCCCGCCGCCGCCCTGTGCTGAGTGACCTCAGCGTTCGCTGTCCCGGAGAGATTGGCCTCTCTTCTCTCTGATTTTCACCTTCCTGCTATAGATCAGAGCTGCCGAGTAAGTTGTTAATATTAAATTGAATACCAACGCCCAGACTTAGAAAACAGTTTAACATTCTGTCTCGGCTCAGGCTGCTGCCGGGCCAGGGATGGGTTCTGAATCGCCGTCTTGATGGAAGTGGTTACACAGCAGGGGAAAGAGATAATTAAAATGGCATTATGGTGTCTCCAGCGGGATGCAGTGACATTAAAGAAGCACGGTGACAAGATAGCCGAGGCTGGAACGCTCTGTGCCGCCTTCGCTCCACGCGTGGAGTCACGGTGCCCGGGGCTGGGAGCCCGACCCTCCTGCCTTGTTCACAGGGGAGCTTGGCGGGGGCGCTGCCAAATGCTGGGGGCTGTGGGGGGGGCAGTGAGGTCGGGTTTGGAAAGGAGCCTGGGGTCTTCAGCCCGGGCGGGCAGCTCTGGCCTGTTCCACACCACGCAGGGGAGGAGGTGGTTACTCTGGGGTGGGGGTGGGCTGGGGTTCAGCCCTGGGCAGCGAGCCCACTCCGAGCGCTCTGTAAGTGGGAGGGTGACAGGGGTGGTAAGACACGTGGCACTTCCGTCTCGTGATGCTGCTGCCGAAGGCCACATGCCAGCAGTGACCGTGCTCTAGCGTCCGTATCATTTTTTCAAGTTGGTTCGGGAGGAGTAGGTGAGCCTTCTGCTTCCCTGTGAAGGCCCTTCAGGCCGGATGAGTGTCATTTTCCTCCCTTCACTGGTCTGAATCAGATTTGAAAGCGAGGCCTGATGGGTGCCTTGGAGGGGGCGGGGAAGCAGTTGCGAGGCTGAAGTAGGGGTGAGCTCTGTGGTGGGGGGAGTCCCTCCTCTTGGGGTCCGCCCGTTGTCCCCACTGGCGTGGGGACAGCAGTCGTCTAGATGCGAGTTTCAGGCCCAGAATGTCCCCTCTGTGGACTGCCGCACGCTGGGGCAACAGAACAGCTTTGTTTTGACCTCGATGGGGGCTCCTTGGAGAGCTGACGCCTCCCCCTTTGTCCTTAACTGAGGAAAGTTCTGCCACCCTCCCCCTCCACCAACCCCACTTTCAGTGAACTGTTTTTCCCCCAGAAGAGGGAACCTTGTCCACAGGGACTGTCCGTTTGTGTCCTCAGGGTGACAGCCTTGGGCCAGGGCCATGAGATACCTACCTTTTATCCTTCAGGGAGGGAGAGGTGGCATCTCTTTGAGTCCCCCCACCCACACACTGGTTTGGGGGTCAACCACACAGTCTCACACAAGCCCTGAACCCAGAGCCCCTTGTGCCCAAAGGTCCTAAGTGGGTGTGACGCAGAGGCATGTTTTAAAGCAACCCAATATCCCCAGTTTGTGTGCCAGGATTGTGCTGTCGTTTTAATTGCTTCAAGTGGTGTTTATTTTGGATTTCTGGGTATTAAATAAAAGCCACTGAAACCCTGGCTGTGGTGTTGACCTGCCCGCAGGCTGGCAGCAGGAGCTGGCGCTTTCCAGGGGTTCAGCAACCAGACACCAGACGGCACGCTGTTGTTTATCCCCGTAAAGGACGCCGCCTCCGTCTGGCTGCTGGATTTTCTTTCATCATTGTTGTGCCAGCCCCGTGCTTGGTGCTGGGCCCGCGTGATGCCAGCACCGCCCTGCTGCCCGGGAGCTGCCAGTCGGACGAGGAAGGAGACAGCTGTCACCCTGTGTGGGGAATGGTGGGGGGCGGGTTGTGGCCGATGGTTTCATGGGCGGGAGAAGAGGGTGGCAGAGTCACAGCCGCGGCTGAGTAATAATAAAGACCAGAGCTGGCGAGCCTGCCCGTTCGCCTGGTTCCAAACCAGAGCGGGAGGTGCCAGCGGCCAGTGGCCTGGGCTGGATAAAGGGCTGCTGCAGGAAGACGGTCTCCTCCTTACACCCTGGGGCAAAGGACCCCGAGGTGACCCCTGATGGGGCCAAATCTTGGGGGTTGTGTGCTGGCCCTGCTGTAAACCCTCCCCGCTGAAGTCATGGGCTGCTTCAGATGCATCCAGCTTTTCTCTGCAAAATGTTAAAACTGTGACTATGAAAGTGTGGCCAGCCTGGGAGTGAGGCAACAATACTATTAAAAATGCTAGAAATTACAAACTGTTGCTGGAAAGAACCTGGGCTTTGGAGAAATGCCTGGGTTTAAATCCAGCTCTGTTCCTGTGTGGCTGCTGGCAAGTTAATTAACGCACACTGTTCAGAGTGACCCCTCACCAAGTTCCTCCCTCCTGCCCTTAAAATCCTTTCCAGGGTGGGTCTTCCCCACCCCTCACACGTGGGTTGTCGCACTGGGGAGGGGCTGCTGCTGGCACGTAGTGGGTGTGGCCCTCAGTTGCTGGTAAGCATCCCACAATACACAGGACATGCTCCTCTCCACCCAGCAAAGATACCCCCAGCCCAGAAAGTGCACAGTGCTGGGGCTGAGAAGCCCTGCTGTGAAGCACCGGGTTCCCGAGCCAGCCTGGCCTGTGGTTTTACCGGCTGGGATGGTCTGTTAATGCCGATGAGGATAAAGCATCGTCCCCTCTGATGTCAGTGCTTTCAGGCCAGCAGTGGTCTCCGACCTTCCAGGGGTCTCTGCTTGGTCCCTCCCATTTGGGGGACGTTCACCGAGGGTCTAGTTTGTCCAAATGGCCACCGACACAGTCATGGAGAGAGAGAGACAAGTGTGTGGATAACTGCCAGGGAAGCCACGGTGACGGCGGGTCTGGGGTGTGGCCGGGAGAAGTCAAAGCTGCCGCGAGGGGCAGCGAGGACCCTGGGAGAGGAGGTCGGCCTGGAGTGGAGGTGGCACGTGCTAGCCCTCCTTTTTCATAAGTTGTTCGGTCTGTGTTCTTCCCAATTGACCCCGTGGTGTGAGTGGCATGCCCTCAGGAAAGTCTCCATCCAGCCGTCTCCTCCCCACGGGGCTTCTGCTGCGGGTGGGCAGTGGGGGTGGAGTCTCTGGTCCAGGCAAGGTCCCTGCCTGGTGGCCGGTCTCTGGGGGACTGTGACATTACATGGCTGCCTGCCCTCAGCAGCATTTGTAGGATCTGAGCATTCAGAGAAGGAAGTGACCTTCTGCGGTCCCCTTGTTTAAGCCTCTCCCAGGCAGGAGCCGGCTCAGCACCGACAGAGGGTCACGGGCCCTGCAGGGAGGGGAGCTGTTCCTTCCTTCCCCAGACAGCTTGAACCTTTCCCAGCCACACTCTGGACCCCTCCACCCTCGTGGTTCTCCCTGGGAGTTATCCACCCACGCGTCTCTCTCTCCATGGCTGTGTCACTGGCTGCTTGAGTAAAACAGCATCTTGTGTTTGGGAAGCTCAGATTTTGTCAGGTTTCGTTTTAAGTGAATATCTACTCTTGGAGGTAAAATTTGGTCCAATAAATCGTAATTATCCTCACTATCTACCAGGGTTAGGCATTACCTTGGGGTGGTGGGTGGGGCCCTGAGGAGCCCCACACGACGGGAACTTGAGCATTCATTTTGTCAGGATTTATTGAGGGCCTACCGTGGGCTAAGCCAGGTCCTGGGGATGCAGCAGGGAACAGGGTGGACACAGCCGCTGCTCCAGGGACTGGAGAGTGGAAGGATGGGCAGGTGATGCAGTGCCGTGAACAAGGTAAGTTCGGGGGAGAATTAGACAGTGATGAACTAGTGAAACAGATGAGGTGGGAGACTTCAGAGGCCGAGGAATCTGAGCTAAGACTCATTATTCAAACATCCCATCCTCTTTGACCTAGGAGGGCCCCGTGGCTCCCCCCAGCAGTGGGCTGTGGACGGCACTATAGGGTCACATCAAGTAAAATGTTTCAGTGCTGTCATACATTTAAGTACGTCTCCTTTGCTGACACTCTGAAACCTACGCAGGACTCTGATGTCCTACCTCACCTCTTAGCAAAATAGCTCCAGGTTTCCCCCCACATCTGCTGTTTAAATGCACTGACAAGGGGAGCCCAAAACACGGTGCCAGGAAGGGGTACGCAAGGAACATACGCCGCAGGACATCGGCATGATCTTAAAGGGCGTGCGGATCGTGGACAGTTTGAGCATCGGGAAGCCTCTAACACGCTGAATTCAAAACGTGCGTGCATTTACAGTGATGCTACGCAAGGAGGAAGGTGAGGACCTTTTTCTTTTAACATTTTATGTAATTTCAGACTTAGAGAAAAGTTGCTAGAATAGAATAGAGTTCCTGTATTTATCCTGATCCCCATAAATGGTAACATTTACCGTATTAGCTTTATCCTTTCTGCCTTCTCAACACAGGCACTGCTGCAGGTATTTAGATACAGCTCTGTCTGTCTATCTGTCTGTCTGTCTGTCTATCTATCTATCTATCTAGGTAATGGTCTGTCTTCCCTGAGTCTCTGAGAGTAAGTTGTGTACATTATGCCCTTTCATCGCTAAATACTTTAGTGTCTGTTTCTTAGAAACAGAAACATTCTCTTACATAATTTCAGCACCAGTGTCATTACCAGGAAATAACATTGATACCATAGCATTATCTAATCTATAGACTTTGATTGTATTTTTTCCAGTTGTCCCAGTAATGTCCTTTTGCCAAAAGGAATGCATTACAGTCTCGTCACATCTCTGTCGTCCCCTTTAATCTGGAGTAGCTCTTCAGTCTCCCTTTACACTTTGTGACATTGATGCAGAAGGAAATGGGCCAGTTGTCTAGAGTGTCTCTCAGCCTGGACTTGTCTGACGTTTCCATAGCGATGAGATTCACGTAGGGCACTTTTGGTGGAAGCTGTGTGTTTTCCGCGCATCTTACGAGACGTAGCACATTGACCTGTCCCATTTCTTGGGATATTTATTTTGATTCCTTAGTTAAGATGATGTTTATTGTGTTTGTGCACTGAAAATGTAGCTTTTCCTTCTAATTAAGTGTTTCGTGGGGAAAGAATTTCTATGTTTGGAGTTACCTTTCTACCAGAAATAACTAGAAAACTGGGCAAAATGTGGGAAACAACTATTTTAGACAATAGCCCAGAGGCAGGGCAGGTCTGTGAGCCTTTGAAAAAGGGAGACACATGAGGTCAGTCCTACCCTTGCCCCGGATGCCTGCCTGGTCGTAATTCCTGGGCTGAGGTGAGGAGGGGGAACTCAGAGCCCAGGGGTCTCACTGAATTGAGGAGACAGAGATCAGAGTTCAAGGAGGTCAAGGTTAAAAGCAAACTTTAAAAGTATCAGAGTAATTCACAATTAACTGCCTGTCAGAAGAATGCCAGCACTCCTTAAGGAATGCAGTGAAGTGCACCCAGCAACATAACATCCCTAATACCCAGCATTTGATAAAAAACAAGGCAGAGGAATGTGACCTACAATCTGGAGAAGAATCAGTCACTAGAAGCAGACCCAGAACTGGCGGAGATGACGGACAGCATCCTACAAGACGGCTAACCCGGCTCCTCAAAAATGTCCATGTCATGGAACACTGTTCTAGATGAAAAGACTGTAGAGAGACATGACAGCCAAATGTCACCAAGCGGAATCTGTGACCCTGATTGGACCTTGGAGTAAGAAAATAAACAGAAAAGCCGTAAACGGCATAATAATAATTGGGGAAATTTGAAAATGGGTGAAATATCAGAAAATATTATTTCAATGTTAATTTTCTTGCATGTCATGATGGCATGGCTAACACAGAAGAATGTCCTTATTTCTAGGAGAAAAATTTTGAAATATTTAGAGTTGAAGTGTCACAGTCCCTTCCTGCAATTTATCTGTATTTATTTGTTTTTAAATTTAAAAAAATTTAATGGATGTACTGGGGATTGAAGCCAGAACCTTATGCATGCTAAGCATATACTCTACCACCGAGCTGTACCCTGCCCCCGGCAATTTATTCTTAAATGATTCAAAAAAAAGAGTGAAAGAAAAAGCAAGAGTAATAAAATGTTAAAAAAAAAAATCTGTGGTGTCTCAAATATGTGTAAACACATCTGACCGTCCTTTATGATTGGATTACCGCATTCTATTGATTCTTATTTTGTGGTTGGCTTTATTCCTCTGATAACCATGTAAGTTTAAAAAGCTGAAACTCTAATCTGTTCTTAGAAACAGTGATTGATACACATATGTAAACTAAAAAAAATGAGCAGTTTATTGTATATACATATTTACATGTAATATAATTTGTAGGTGCAGTCAAACTATAGTGACTTTACCAAATAAAACTGAAAAAGAAAAAAAAGAAAAAACTAAAAAACAAATCTGTATTGAGATTTTGGGGTGTAAATGTAATCATATACTTTATATAGTTATATAAGTATAATTAAGCTATGATGTATCATTCTAATATAATTACATAAAATAATTATATAATTTTCCTATATAAACTTCAAATTTAAAAAAATTACATTGCGAGATATATACATTCTGTTAATTTGAGTATTAAAAATAGACATTACCATGAAAATGTGAACCCAGGAGCACATATATGAGCGTGTGCACACGTGTGTGATGTATGCACGTGCACGCGCCTGTATGCACGAGTGTGTGGCTCTTCAAGGAAGGAATGTGGGTCATTGCAACAGTCCTTTCTGGTCATGGGCTTGTAATTCATTACTTTTAGCCTCTCTTCTTCCACTTTTCATCACACCTGTCCCTCCCCCACCCCCCGCCGCCAGCCGGGACCTCAGCTGGTCACCGTTCGCTCCTCGTGGGGGGACCTGAGCCTTCCTTTCTGAGGATTCTGAGTCTGCTTGTCCTGCCCCCATGGGGTGGCTGCGGGCTGCCATTTTTACCACGTGTCTTGACAGTTCTCGGGGGCACCCCGGGGCTCTCTGTGTTCCAGGCACCCTCCTTGAGGACCCTCCTCAGCTGTAACCACCCTACTTCCCCTGCATCTTCAGGCTCAGCCTCCCCATTTGATGCAATAACCGTCTTCTTGTCCACTGGCCCAGTGGCAGTAGGACACCCTCATGGCCAGGCGGTCATGTGGGCTCCTGGTGGAGGTGTCCCCCTCCTGGGTACCAGGGCCGCTTAACTGGCACAGCCCAAGTTGCTCTCCCATCGTCAGGGCTGACCCTGCGTGGGGCTGTAACCCTGCCGCCTCCACTGCTGGACCTGCCAGCAGGCCTGGGCGCCCTCAGCAACCCAGGCTGGATCATTTCTCTGATCATTGGATGCTGGGGGTGCCCCATGAGAGCAGAGGTTGGGGTTGAGGAAGGGGTGGCAGTACCGGCCACCAGCTCACGTCATTGGCCTGTGTCATTGGGACCTGCTTGGCCCCATTTCCCTACCTGCTGCTTCCCTTGGACAGTGGAGGGCCATGGCACACAGTTTTGTAGATCAGGAGATCAAATGACACTCGGTATCTGAAGGACTCCTCAGTGTCTGTAGTCTGCCTGATCTGGCAGCAGAGAAAGGGTGGTTAGCTTCCTGTCACCTAGCACTGTCACCTGTTGCTATGGAAACTCGCAATTTCAGCCTGGCTCATGAAAATTCCAGCTCAAGTGACCAGCTCCAGTCTGCTCCATTGTCTTGGGATCTGTCCTTAACAACTCTAGGCCTTTGCACAGGCTGTTCCTTCCCCCTGTAATGCTCTCACCCATCTTCAGCTGGCAAACTCTTATTCATCCATCAAAACCCACTTCTCCTTTGGAAAAACTTCCTGATCACTGAGGCAACAATGGCCATCGATATTTATCCCTTAAACCCACTCTGTGCCAGGTAGTGCTCTAGGCACTGGGACAAAGGAGACCTTACAGGGCTGTGGTAAGGAATCACACGAGGATCTACCCTTTAGATAAGGCAGTGAGGGAAGGCTTCCTGAAGGAGGAGGCATTTAAGCTGATGATAACCATGAGTACCCAGCCATTTTAAAAGAGGGGGGCAGGGGCTTCCAGGCAGAGGGCACAGTGAGTGTGAAGACCCCGCAGCAGAAGGTCCGTGGCACTTTCAGGGAGTAGAAGAGTCGTCCAGGTGGCTGAGAGGGTGTGAGAACAGGAGAGTTAGGAGGTGAGGCCGGACATGTAGACCGCGGGCTGCATGGGGACCTAGGGGCAGGGCTGTGTGGACTGGATTGCATTTTAAGAGACACCGGGAGCCCTTGGCAGGTTTTGAGTGAGTTGGGACATGAAGCGGGTCCTCTGGTTGCTCGTGGAGAGCAACTCATGGGCGGGAGGTTGGGTGTGAGCGGAACTGGCAGTGCGGGTCCGGGTCCAGCCGGGAGGCTCCTGTGTGGTCCAGGCGAGAGGGCAGGGCCTGGCCGGGCCGGGGGCGAGGAGCTAGAGGGACAGTTTGCTGACGGCGGGGACACGTGGGCCGCGGGGGAAGCTGACTCCCCACCTCTGGCCTCAGCGACTGGGTGCCTGGCGCTGCTGTTTGCAGATGAGAAGCCTGGGGGAGGAAGCAGATGGAGAGAAAGAAGAACTAGGAACTTTGAGTTGCCGTAGAGCTCCTGGGGTCCCCGGAGGCGCGGCGGGGCTCCAGGGCCGGCTTTTCGGTGGGGCTGCGGTGACGCTGCTTTCAGAGCACCGGGGCCTGCAGCCCAGCCAGGAGGAAGCTCCCTGCAGACGCGGCCCAGAGGGCCCTGCAGAAGCCACAGGCCTGGGAGGAAGTGAGCCGCTTGCCCCTGGGGCCCCCGCCAACCTAGGGAACCCGGAACCCGCTTCTGTTGGGAACCCGGGGACCACCATTCGAGCACCGAGGAAGCATCAGGTGAGTCCTCCGCTGTGGGGCTCCCGCTCGTCTGTGATGCTGGGAGCCTGAGCTCACGGCAGGGGGGTTCGAAGGGGCCCCCGTGGAAAAGGAACCCAGAGAGCACGGTCTTGGCCGAGACGGCACAGGGAGGGCCCCGCCCGCCACGCTTAGAGCAGGCTGTTCCTCCTGCCCAGGGGCCCAGGGGGGCCGAAGGGCACCGTCTTACTTCTCGTGTATTGAGGTGAACCGGTTCCCTTCCCATTGTGTCATCTCCCCTAAGCTTCATCCAATGTGTTGGGGAGAAAGGCCACCCTCAGTTTTCAGGTGAAGAAACTGAGATCCATGTCAGGGAAGGGACAGCCCAGTCCAGCCCCTCCTTGTAAAGAAACATCAGGACCAGAGAGGGAATGGTGGTTGCCCAAAGTCACACAGCCAAGAATGAGGGGGAGCCGACCTGGAACCCAGTCTCCTAGCCCCGAGGTCACGTTCTTTCCTCTCCTCTGACTGCATCCTTTGAACCGAATCCTGTCCAAAAGGAGGCCTGGGGATTCAGGGAATGGAGTTGGCCTAGAGGCTCTGTTCTTCCCTCTCCCACACTTCGGGGCAGGACTGGGCTGCAGGCAGCGCCCCGGTGTCCCCCGGCTGGGTGTCAGCCCTGTGACTGCCTCGTCTCACCACACGCTGGGCCAGCCAGGCCTCCCTGGGGGCTGCAGCTGACCACCCACTTCTGCTACAGGAGGCCCCTACCCCAAATGTGTGTTTGGGGTTGGAAGCGCTGGGGAAGCCCTAGGGGCCAGAGAGAAAGTGGGGGGGCTCGGCTGTCCCCCGAGCAGGAGAGGAAGTGATTAAAGGAACAGGAAAGAGTTTCTGATTCTGCCAGGCCCCGGGGCCCGGCAACCTACTCACAGTGAGGACGGCGGGCTCTGCGAATGCTGGCCCTTCCCTGCGAGCGTGTGCCTCCCGGTCTGGAGGCAATAGCACACAGAGCGAGTTTAGGGTGACTCAGATGCTAATGTCCTCTGTCCCCTGCTTCTCCAGGGCCGGAAAGGCAGCGATGGAGCCAGAGCCCCTCTACAACCTGCTGCAGCTCCCTGGGAAGGTGGACCCACCGGCAGTGGAAGAACTCTCACAAGGTGGGGGCCCCGCGGGGCAGAGGGGGAGGGTCTGCATCGCAAAAAACAAACAGGTCGTGCCAGGCACCCAGCTCCGTCCAGCTCTGTCCAGCCCCCGCCTACACCTTCTGCTTTATACTTGACACCCCTGCCCCTGGAACCTTCTACAGAGTTATCCCCGTACCCCTCATGGCCGCACATCTCCGGGTTAACCGGGGTGTTGATGCGGATACTAACTGCTGTGTGTGCCCACTCTGTGCTGGCGCTGTGCTGAGCACTTCGGATCCGCAGCAGCTCATCTGCTCTGAGGCTCTGAGGATGGTGTTAGTACCTGCTTTGTACAGATGAGGAAACCGAGACACAGAGAGCAATGGAGCAGAGTAACATCCAGAGCCGCAGGGCCGACTTCATTGACTGACGTTCTCTGTTTATAAATGGCTTCAGCTTGGAAAGCATCACCAGGAAAACTGCTGTGAGGGTGGTAGGGCTCGGCTATTTGAAAAAATATTTATTTTCTGTTTTACAGTTGGTTTAGAGGTACTTAAAGTTCTGGTAGTCAGAGCTGGGACATGGGATGGTTCTGAGTGGTAAGGAGTCCGCTCCAGGAAGGGCCCTGGCCCCTCCCTCGCACCCTCGCTCTCCCAGCGTTGACCCAGAGCCCGCCCTCCTCCTATACTCGAAGTTTTCTGGGTATCTAGAAGTTTCCAGCTGGGCCATGCGAACACAGATGCAATGCATTTTGTGGATTTGCATTTTGTGCAAGGCCACCCCCTGTGCTGACTCAGTTTCCCCCATGGCCATCAGGACTAGGTGATCTCAAGGGTCCTTCTCGGCTCTGACATCTGTGGGTTCTGTGAGTCTAAAATTTGGGGGAGAAGCTGACCCAGGTCTTGGGGCTCAGAGGACGGGACAAGAGGCCTCAGTGTGCTGTCCACACCGGGGAGCCAGACAGACGCAGGTGAACTCCACCTCGGCACCCTGGAGCCCGGGAGCCTGGGCTCACCTGAGCCGTGGCTCCTTCTCACACACGTGGGTGGAGTTGGCAGATAAAACACGGTGTGCCCAGTTAAATGTGGGTCAGAGAGACAAGAAATAAGTTTTGAATTTAGGTATGTTCCCAGAATACTAACAGTGCAGTGTCTGAGGCTGAGCTTGTATTCAGGAAGGAAGTGAGGGGAAGGGCATTCAGGGCGAGGCGGGAACAGCGAGAGCGAAGGAAGGGAGGTGTGGAGGACGAGGCATGTCCGGGAACCCAAGCCACTTTGTACATTTGGTGCCCTGGGGGTGTGAGTGCGTGTGCTCATATGTGTGCCCGTGTGTCTGCGTGTGTCTGTGTGAGTGCACATGTCTGTGCATCTGTGTGTGTGCCTGTATGTGTTTGCATGTGGTGTCTTTGTGCAAAAGCCTGTATCCATGTGCATGCACGCGTGTGAAGCAGCAAGGCCTATGATCCCTTGTGGCCGAGGTGCCAGCTCTAGGGGTGACCTGCAGGGTCCCCACACATGTGTCATGCTCACCTCTGATTCCAGGAGAGAAGAAGAAGTTCCTGCCACCCACCTCCCGGAGAGACGCCAAGTTTTGAAGACTGCAGAGGTGCGACCACCCCACCCCTCCTATACTGAGAGTGGGTCTTCTTTCGTCGTCGTTCGGCGGGCGTCGTCACCGTCCCGCCCTCC